GCCATTTTTATTTTAATGAAGCCGGGGATATTTAAATCCCGGCTTCATTGACTATGTCGGGTAGCCTATTTTACATGCCTGTGTCGGCAGAGGCACATAGTCTAGATGCACCCTAACGTGCTACAGGACTTCTGGTGCTAAGGGTGTAACTGGCAACTCTTGGTCCATAACCAGTTCAGCTTTGGGGGGCCAGTCAGCAGAAGGTGACATAATCTCATACACTATAGAGGCAGATTGTTACATTAGGCTGCATGTAAGGTGAATGTGGAAGGAAGGATTTGAGAGAAAAGACTGCATGAGGGGGAGAAGAATGCAAGCATCTTGAATCTGACATTCCGAAGGACACACGGCAAAACCTCAAGGTGATTTTTTTTTTTTTTGGTTATTTACAGGGGCTCTTTCAGCTTTGTAAAACGGGTTGTGCACAAAGGGAACAGAGTCTCGTGTGCTGCTAAGTTCATACCTCTGCGAAGCAAAACGAGAGCCCAGTCCTACCAGGAGAGGGACATCCTCGCCACGCTTTCCCACGACAGAATCACCCGCCTGCTGGATGCGTTTGAAACAAGGAAAACCTTGGTTCTGATTCTGGAACTGTATCCTTCTCTTCTTTTTCTCAGCCAATGCTGGGAAGTGCCTGTTAAGAAAACCCATGTGAATATGAATATAACCATTTGTACTTGACACCTGAGATATAAAACACCCACTGGGGTACAACATAAACATATTAAAGATTGTAAGGGGCTCACTTACAATGAGTGTGGGGCCCATATAAGTACCCAGGATGGGTGGATTTGCAGTAGAAAAAGCCACACTAGAAAAATACCTCTCACAGCAATGGATTATACAGCGCCAAAGCACTTCTGAAAGCCGAAGTCCCTGCCCCAAAGGGATTAGTCTAGCTGGAAATATGAAAGCACAGAGAGAAGATGGTGAGGAGCAACCAAACAATGAAATTTAAAGGAGAATTTTAGCACAAGGCAGCTGGTTAATTCCATGGGTTTCATTTAATTGTTAAGGAGCAAAGATGTTCAGTGGTTGAGTTTCACATTCCCCACGGGAGGACTGCCCTATGTCCTTCCAGATTTGAAGCATTTTATCCCAGACCCAAAGCAAATGCCGAGACTAACCAAAATATCTAGAATCATGTGTTCTCATGGGCAATGCGCACTTCCTCAGATGAATTGGAGTGGAAATAACAGAAACCAAGAAATACATATAACAACAGAAGTACCTGTCAATAGCCTCATTAACACAGGTCCTACAACGGAGAGGTGCGTCTGTCAGAGAGAGGGGATTTAACATCACGGAGGATATAGGCTGCCCTCTGAGATCTGTTCTATTTTATTGCCATACCTGTCAGAGAGAGGGGATTTAACATCACAGAGGATATAGGCTGCCCTCTGGGATCTGTTCTATTTTATTACCATCCAGCGCTGTATTTGTTGTAGAATGCTACTAAGTGATGATGATAAACAAATGGTCTTAATTCTCCTTAATGTCCTTGCTAGGTGCTCCACCGAGGAGCTCTTGGACCGTTTATTCAGGAAGAATGTTGTTACTGAAGATGAGGTACCAATGTCTTGTCCTTTTAAAATTTCCCCGTGTGGCACCTATGAGGTTCCTTCCATGTGTTTTGACTGATACAATAATTTCCTGTTCACTAGTGATTTTATCTTCTTCATCTCCTTGCCCTTCCCAAGCCAAGAAGTGAGATGCATCCTCGGGGGTGGGGGGCGGTTCCAGTCCCTTCTAGCTCCAAATATCAGAGCTCTTTAGCCTGTCTTATTCTGGAACACAAATCTCCTGCACTTTATTGGCTAATTTTATTTTTCTCAGGTCTCAGAGGAAACAGTAGAGAAGACTATATAGGGGCAAGGCTGAATTCCCTTCTAGCTGGGCCTTCTGCCTGGGCCTGGCTATTAAATTCCCACCCATGGTGAAATTTTACTCATATTAGGATCTGTGCCCAGTCTAAAGATTGGCTTTCTAACATGTAAATGATTTCACGAGGCATAAGGGATTGGTCGATGAAGGCTTCCCTTGTCCGCGTCTTCACCGCTGCACTGTGCCGGCACAGCGCGGCAGCCATTTTTATTTTAATGAAGCCGGGGATATTTAAATCCCGGCTTCATTGACTATCTATGCCAGTGAGCCCCCAGGCTCAGAACTTAGACACCAAAGGGGTGGGGATGGGGTCCCAGCGCCGGCGTGAGCCACAGCTGTAAAGCACAAGCTACCCAGCTGCTTTTAGACAGCTAGTAGAAGCCCTGCTAGACTGAGTCTGTCGACCTGTGCTGAAGGCTTTTTGTCACAGGCTGTACAGTCATATCCTTAGCCACTGTCTCTGAATTCCATGTGCTAAGGCAGGGTGGGCAAAAGGACCCACCAAGCAGATTGATCCAGTCTGCAGAGGTCCTGCCAGTTCCAGGCCAGTCAGGGCCTAGGGATGGGGGAGTGCGCAGTGCTTAGTCAATCGTGGTGGGCACCTCTAAGCACCATGGAAGATGGGGAATGAGAGACTTTGCGCGCTCCCTGTGTCCCAGGCCAATGAGATAAAACACCCACTGGGGTACAACATAAACATATTAAAGATTGTAAGGGGCTCACTTACAATGAGTGTGGGGCCCATATAAGTACCCAGGATGGGTGGATTTGCAGTAGAAAAAGCCACACTAGAAAAATACCTCTCACAGCAATGGATTATACAGCGCCAAAGCACTTCTGAAAGCCGAAGTCCCTGCCCCAAAGGGATTAGTCTAGCTGGAAATATGAAAGCACAGAGAGAAGATGGTGAGGAGCAACCAAACAATGAAATTTAAAGGAGAATTTTAGCACAAGGCAGCTGGTTAATTCCATGGGTTTCATTTAATTGTTAAGGAGCAAAGATGTTCAGTGGTTGAGTTTCACATTCCCCACGGGAGGACTGCCCTATGTCCTTCCAGATTTGAAGCATTTTATCCCAGACCCAAAGCAAATGCCTGTCAGAGAGAGGGGATTTAACATCACGGAGGATATAGGCTGCCCTCTGAGATCTGTTCTATTTTATTGCCATACAGCGCTGTATTTGTTGTAGAATGCTACTAAGTGATGATGATAAACAAATGGTCTTAATTCTCCTTAATGTCCTTGCTAGGTGCTCCACCGAGGAGCTCTTGGACCGTTTATTCAGGAAGAATGTTGTTACTGAAGATGAGGTACCAATGTCTTGTCCTTTTAAAATTTCCCCGTGTGGCACCTATGAGGTTCCTTCCATGTGTTTTGACTGATACAATAATTTCCTGTTCACTAGTGATTTTATCTTCTTCATCTCCTTGCCCTTCCCAAGCCAAGAAGTGAGATGCATCCTCGGGGGTGGGGGGCGGTTCCAGTCCCTTCTAGCTCCAAATATCAGAGCTCTTTAGCCTGTCTTATTCTGGAACACAAATCTCCTGCACTTCATTGGCTACTTTTATTTTTCTCAGGTCTCAGAGGAAACAGTAGAGAAGACTATATAGGGGCAAGGCTGAATTCCCTTCTAGCTGGGCCTTCTGCCTGGGCCTGGCTATTAAATTCCCACCCATGGTGAAATTTTACTCATATTAGGATCTGTGCCCAGTCTAAAGATTGGCTTTCTAACATGTAAATGACCGGTATTTTCTGTTTCTCTCGGATGGAAGGCCAGCAGGGACAATCTTCCCCTGCCAGTGAAAACCCACTAACTCAGTTTTTTGCTCAACAACTTTTGTGTCCTCCTTGCTGGTTTGTTTGTTTTTGTTTTTGGTTTTGGTTTTGGTTTTGGTTTTTTTGCCAGGATTTTTGTTTTTTTTTCCTGAAAACCCACTAACTCAGTTTTTTGCTCAACAACTTTTGTGTCCTCCTTGCTGGTTTGTTTGTTTTTGTTTTTGGTTTTGGTTTTGGTTTTGGTTTTTTTGCCAGGATTTTTGGTGAAAGCATCTGGCAAGCCTACTTATTGGAAAACTCCAGTGAGGCAGACACACGGGGCATGTCTGTGCGTCCTATGCCAGTGAGCCCCCAGGCTCAGAACTTAGACACCAAAGGGGTGGGGATGGGGTCCCAGCGCCGGTGTGAGCCACAGCTGTAAAGCACAAGCTACCCAGCTGCTTTTAGACAGCTAGTAGAAGCCCTGCTAGACTGAGTCTGTCGACCTGTGCTGAAGGCTTTTTGTCACAGGCTGTACAGTTATATCCTTAGCCACTGTCTCTGAATTCCATGTGCTAAGGCAGGGTGGGCAAAAGAACCCACCAAGCAGATTGATCCAGTCTGCAGAGGTCCTGCCAGTTCCAGGCCAGTCAGGGCCTAGGGATGGGGGAGTGCGCAGTGCTTAGTCAATCGTGGTGGGCACCTCTAAGCACCATGGAAGATGGGGAATGAGAGACTTTGCGCGCTCCCTGTGTCCCAGGCCAATGAGCGGGCAAGCGTGCAAAGTCTCCTCCAACCCTGCCCTGAAAGCAGTGACCTGAGGGTAAAGGGGGGATTGCATGGAGTCTCCTTCCACCACCAGGGGCGCAGGTGCAGGGGGCAAAGACTTCACCTGCTCCCCCACCCCCAGATCAATCAGGGTCTGTGAACACAGAAGTATCCTGGCCCCACCCCGTTCTGCCTGAGGCCCCGGGGCCATGTCAAAAATTACAAAAATTATTGCCCGGTCTTGTTGCTTGTTTCTGTTTCACATAAAATAGCCTCGTTTAAAAAGTTTATTTTATTAGTTTTTAAGGTTTTTATCATGGAACGAGGAGTAACGGTAGTTTGGAATAGGAAGCCTAATCCAAACTACCTAGTCCGTGCCGCGTGTCGCCGCAGGGCACGGAGTCCACACTAGCAATATGCAAATGAAGCCCGGGAAATTCAAATCCCGGGCTTCATTTGCAACTCCGGTTGCCTACATTACCACCCTAGTTCAAACTAGGATGGTAGTGTAGACATACCCTTAGAGTTCTTTGAAGGGGTTAACAAACATGCGGACAAGGGGGATCCAGTAGATATAGTATACTTGGATTTTCAGAAAGCCTTTGACAAGGTCCCTCACCAAAGGCTCTTGTGTAAATTACATGGCCATGGGATAAGAGGGAAGGTCCTTTCTTGGATTGAGAACTGGTTAAAACACAGGAAACAAAGGGTAGGAATAAATGGTAAATTTTCAGAATGGAGAGGGGTAACTAGTGGTGTCCCCCAAGGGTCAGTCCTGGGACCAATCCTTTTCAACTTATTCATAAATGATCTGGAGAAAGGGGTAAGCAGTGAGGAAGTAAAGTTTGCAGATGATACAAAACTGTTTAGGATAGTCAAGACAGAAGCAGACTGTGAGGGACTCCAAGAAGATCTCACCAAACTCAGTGATTGGGCAGCAAAATGGCAAATGAAATTTAATGTGGATAAATGCAAAGTAATGCACATCGGGAAAAATAACCACAACTATACATACAGTATGTTGGGGGCTAATTTGGCTACGACAAATCAGAAAAGATCTTGGATTTATCGTGGACAGTTCTCTGAAAACTTCCACGCAGTGTGCAGTGGCGGTCAAAAAGGCAAACAGGATGCTAGGAATTATTAGGAAAGGGATAGAAAATAAGACCCAGAATATCTTACTGCCCCTGTATAAAACTATAGTACGCCCACATCTTGAATACTGTGTACAGATGTGGTCTCCTCACCTCAAAAAAGATATTTTGGCCTTGGAAAGGGTTCAGAAAAGGGCAACTAAAATGATTAGGGGTTTGGAACGGGTCCCATATGAGGAGAGGCTAAAGCAACTGGGACTTTTCAGTTTAGAAAAAAGGAGACTGAGGGGGGATATGATAGAGGTCTATAAAATCATGAGTGGTGTAGAGAGGGCCAATAAAGAAAAGTTATTTATTAGTTCCCTAAATAGAAGAACTAGAGGACACCAAATGAAATTAATGGGGAGCAGGTTTAAAACTAATAAAAGAAAGTTCTTCTTCACACAGCGTGTAGTCAACCTGTGGAACTCCTTGCCAGAGGAGGCTGTGAAGGCTAGGACTATAATAGAGTTTAAAGGGAAGCTAGATAATTTCATGGAGGTTAGGTCCATAAAAGGCTATTAGCCAGGGGATAAAATGGTGTCCTTGGCCTCTGTTTGTCAGAGGCTGGAGAAGGATGGCAGGAGACAAATCGCTTGATCATTGTCTTCGGTCCACCCTTTCTGGGGCACCTGGTGCTGGCCACTGTCGGCAGACAGACTACTGGGCTAGATGGACCTTTGGTCTGACCTAGTACAGCCATTCTTATGTTCTTATGTAGGCCAGAGATTAAGACGCTGATGTGGGATGTGGAAAACCCACATTTACCTATCTGCCCCAGCACACTTGCTGCTGGGTTATTGGCTATTCTGGGTTGACTGGAGCTTTCTCTCACATGGTGGGGCGGGGAGTTATGAAAAATTTCTAAAGGTCTCATTTTAATCTGACATGGAAGAAAAACAACTTTTGAAACTAGAAACTTTTCGTACAATGGACTTGTTCTCCAGCCAGCTTTAATTATCAGTTCAATCTGCATTTCCCATATTTTCTACAGAGAATATTTCTGGAATTGGTAATTCCTCTGAAACAGGGAATTCATGTTTTAAATAGATCCATTGTACAATTCAAATGAAAATATGTTGTAACTAATTTTGATTTTTAAGGTCAAATTATACATCAAGCAGCTTTTGGAAGGACTCAGTTATCTCCACGACAATAATGTACTTCACTTGGACATTAAGGTAAGTCGCAAAGGAAAATCTTCCTTGTATTAGCCATTGTAGCTTGCAGGGCAGGCGAGTGATGTGTTTTATTCAAACTGTATATTAAAGATTTACTTGTGTTTAAAAATGATGCCCTTTGGCAAATAAATGTTCTCTGTGTTTTCTGATCATTAGCCTCCAAATATCCTGATGGCCTACCCTGAGAGAGAAGATATTAAGATCTGTGACTTTGGGTTCGCTCAAAAGATAAATCTATCTGAGCCTCAGTACAGCAAATTTGGATCTCCTGAGTTTGTCTCCCCGGAAATTATCTCTCAACTCCCAGTGTCAAAGGCGTCCGATATTTGGTAAATTGTCACTTTTTTAAAAAGTTACAGCACCGAGCACTGTAACTTTGGGGCTGGAGGCGTAAAGAAACTGGGCTTATTAATCAATCTGTGCAGTGTAAAGACACGTGCTTATGTGCTCTAGTTCCGTGATGGGATGGCAGGGGGGGTGGGGCACTAGCACAGGTTCCCCAATGCCGAGGAGGAGGCCCTGAGTCTTGGGGGGCCAGATCCAGACAAGCCAGCAGGCCACATCCAGCCACTGGGCCTTAGGTTCCCCACCCCTGCGCTAAGTAATCCAGCAAAGCCAGGGATGGCCAGAATGGACATTCCTGGTATGTTTACAGTAAAATAACTTTTAAAAAATAACCAATAAAAATCGTATTGATATGTAACAAAGAAGAAAAATGCACACAACCCTGATTTTTTAATAATCCTTCCCAGTCACCTTGAGATAAATTGTGCAAAAACTGTTTCCCGTGTTGCTGTTTGATTTTGGTTTTGTTTTTTGTTTTTTTTAATCTGGACTAATGCAATAGAATATTGGGATTTTGCCTTTTTAAAAGCTAACCCTTGCCAGACAGATAAAGAAGATCCTTTTGGGCAGTTACTTGGGTTATTGGCGCCGGAGCTCAGGGAAGCTGTGTGGTGAGGGAGGGAGAGAAGGAGGAATATTTGTCTGATATAAATATGTGTCTTTTCTCCCCAGGGCTGTTGGAGTCATCAGCTATTTAAGGTAAACAATCTGCTCTAACAGCCCTATTCAGCTTTCCTTAATTCTGACTCAGGCAAAACTTCCAGCCCTATTCAGCTTTCCTTAATTCTGATTCAGGCAAAACTTCCAGGGCTTGTCTATACTACGGAGAAGACCGACTTGCTGGAGGTCGATCTCCTAGCGTTCGAATTAGCGGGTCTCATGAAAACTCACTAACTTAAACTGAGAAGGAGCCCTGGCAGTCCCGCTCGTCACGGGGAGGGAGGGGAGTCGACACCTCCCGTTGTGTGGACGCTCGTCACGGGGAGGGAGGGGAGTCGACTGTTAGTTAGTCGATAATTTAAACTATCTTAAATTGTTATTTTGGGCTGTCCATCAACCTCCCGTTGTGTGGACAGCCCAAAATCACAGTTTAAGATAGGTCGACTCCAGCTACGTAATTAACAAAGCTGGAGTTGTGCATCTTAAGTCGACCTTCCCCTTTAGTGTAGTCCAGGCCCCAGTGACTTCAGTGGGAGTCTTGAGTGAGTGAGAAGTGAACGGATGGCGATTGTTATTTAGTAAAGTATTTAATGCGTATATTACCGACAGCATGCTAAGCACTTCCCGTTCTAAAGATGATGTCCCTGCTCCAAGGAGCTGACAGCGTCTGTGAATAGTGGACTATTATAGTCAGTTTTTAGCTTTGGAGGAAGTATTTCACAGTGGCAGATACTTTCTTAGGGACACATATTTTGATCATCACTAATGAAAAGGCACATGTCTAGATTTAAATTACTAAATTGCAAATGTGGTTTGGAAAATTGGACCCTTCATTTTTCTGTTCTCAGATGCTGTATCTGTAAAATGGATATAAATAATTTCCAAAGTGCATTGCAGACCCTTGGATGAAAGATATTATACAAGTGCAAGGGGGCTGTGTGTGCCTCGTTTTGAATCTGTGTCCCATTTTAAAACCTTTGTCACACAGTTGCGCTTTTGGAGGGTTGAGTCTCAATAAAATACTAACAATTCATCTCTTTTTGTTTTATGATGTTAATGCAATAAGCTTAACCTGCAAGTCTCCATTTGCTGGGGAAAATGACAGAGCAACCCTTCTCAATATCCAGAACGGGACAATCGCTTGGAATGTCCCTAACTTTGTTCACCTAAGTGAAGAAGCAAAGGATTTTATCAAACAGATCCTGCAGATGTCTCCCGAGTGAGTCCTTTTGCATTGTTTTCCACAAATATCATATTGGATGCTTGTGGAGTGAGTTGACTGTTTTCAGCCAATCAGATCTACATTGACTCTGAGAAGAACCAAATTTGGGCAAGTTGGTATAGACAGTACATCAGCCTTTCAGGTCTGAAGGCAGCTGTGCTCAAATCCATCTTTATAGAGTCCCCAGAAAACTCCCCCCTGAAGATAAGAATGTGTCTAGTGAATGAGTAGCGAGTCATGATATTAGACAGGAGGGTGTTCAACTTCTGACAAGCATATTACCATGGGGATAAGGGCTTACCTATTTAGGATCCTAAATAGAGGAGCATACCACGTTAACTAGATTGTTCTATAAGGCAAATGAATAGTAATCATGTTCCACACCTCAGAGAAGGCAAGAGACTGGGAGTTTCACCCATGGTTGTAGCCTCCACTGTTTAGGCTTGGACACAGCCGCTTATCCCGAATAGCTACCAACTTGGAAGATTAAACCAAACCCCCTGGTAAAGGGGGACCTCCGGGAGCTGTAGAGCAGCCTCCCTTGGTAGCAACACTTCAGTCATTTCTGGTCTGGCAAAGATAGAATCGAGTCAGGTGTGAGGAAGACACGTGAAGCGCTGTCTTCCCCGGTGGTGTCATGAGGGAAGGCCCTGCTGTAGGCCCTGCAGAATCCTGTGGTAACTTCCAGAGTCTTGCCTGAGGGACCGGCAGGAAAAATCCTGTAGCTTGACCCATGTTTTGCAGAGTAGGAGAAACGTTTGGTTTGAAAAGGATTGTTCTGGTTGAACCGGAGGCTTTACTGCCCCATGGCAGAACCCAGCTGGCAAGGGGCAAGCTGTAGAACCCAGCTGATATGGACCTGGAGAGGAGGGGGGGCAGCTGGCAAGGGGCAAGCTGTAGAACCTAGCTGGTATGGACCTGGAGAGGAGGGGGAATGGGAGAGGGGAGCAAGTTGGGGCTGGCAGGGCTGCTAAGCGGCTCTCCTCTGGCCCCATGGAGAGGGACCCTTTCCCTAGAGTTGACTGCTGCTGGTGGGAAGAGAACTGGGAGGAGTCCTCTGGCCCCAGCTCTGGGTAGCCTGCCTGCACCCCAAACTCCTCATCCCTAGCCCCAGACAAGAGCCCCACATATACCTCCCATCCCCATCCTCCACCCCCTCCTGCACTTGAACCCCTCATCCCCAGCCCCACTCGGAAGCCCACCAGTCACGTTAAGTAGGTAAAACTCAAATCTTCTTACAGTTTTTTTTTTTAAGTAATGGCTTTGTCTAGTGCTAGTTACGTAAAGTGGGTCCTGTTGGAATATGCTGCAATAGTACAATTTTCTGAAAACTCTGGTCGAAAGATATAATCATGTCGGGTCACAGACAGGCATCAATAATGTACTTCAACTGGGTCATGAGAAACAGAGTTTGCAAATCGCTGATTTAAAGTGACTTACAGCTCAGAAGTCCTAAAGATTTAGCTCATGGGTGGGCAATAATTTTTGATGGGCTAAGATTTTGGTAAGTAGTTAAGGGCCACACTTTTCTATGGGGGAGGTGGATCTGTTAAGGGCCACACTTTTCTATGGGGGGGTGGATCTGGTCAGTGTTTGGGTGCAGAAGGGAGCTCAGGGTAGGGGGCTGGGGTGCAGGAGAGGATGTGGGGTCTGGGAGGGAGTTTGGGTGAAGAAGGGGTTGTGATTTGGTGCAGGAGCTTGGGGTGCAGGATCAGGGAGGGGGTATGGGTGCAGGAAAAGATTTGGGCCTGGGGGAAGGGGTGCAAGGTCTGGGAGAGAGATGTGACCTGGGGGAGGGAGGATGCACAGAGTCTGGGTGATGTCCTGAGTCAGGAGGGAGGTGGTGACCTAGAAAGGGAATTGGGGAGAGGGAGAGGCTGGGGAAGCCGCTTACCTAGGCAGCTCCCAGCCAGCAGCCCTGCAGGACACTGAGGCATGCTCCCTGCCTGCCACAGGGAGGTTTCCAGCCAATAGGAGCTGAGAGATTTTGCTGGTGGGTAAGGACAGCACATGAAGCCTCTCCCTTCCCCCAGCACCCAGAGCAGAGAGCCACAAGGAACAACCAGCCACTTAAAGCGGCACGGGGCTGCTCTGACGTAGCTGGCTGCTTTGTGCCTGAAGGTCACAGCAGGGCAACACATGGGCTGGATCCGGAGACTTAGTGGGATTCAGCCCACGGGCCATATCTTGCCCATCCCTAATCTAGCTAAAGAGAGATCTGGTTGGCACTCAACCTGCAAGGAAGCTACATGCCTTTGGGCATGTCATGCTGAGGATGAAAGCTGAAATGTGTCTGTCTTCTGTTCTCAGAGCCAGACCTACTGCTCTGGAATGTCTCTCACACAACTGGTTCTCGGTAAGTTTGCCTGGCTTTTACCCCATCTCTCTCCCAGCCGGTATCACCCCGCTTCTCTTGTGGAGGCCACTTTGGCTACATCTGGTCTGCATCCCTCTGTCCTCAAAAAATGAGCTTTTAGTGCACGAGACTTGCTTGTTAAGGTTAACAGGGGGGTTCTTTACATGTCTGGAATAGAAAAGGCAGCCTACATACACCAAACAATCGCTTACTGCTGCGGCACAGCAGCTGAACATCCGCATACACAAAGGGTGTGTCTAGACTGCATCCCTCTGTCGACAGAGGGATGCAGTCTAGACACACCCTTTGTGTATGCGGATGTTCAGCTGCTGTGCCGCAGCAGTAAGCGATTGTTTGGTGTATGTAGGCTGCCTTTTCTATTCCAGACATGTAAAGAACCCCCCTGTTAACCTTAACAAGCAAGTCTCGTGCACTAAGAGGAGATTACGTCCTTTTGCAGAGGGGGAAATTAAAGTTCCTATTTGGGTGTCTGGAAGCCCTACCCAAGGAGAAAAGCAGAAAGGAAAGAAGAATCAAATCACAGTGTGTGTGCATTTGTGTGATGACTGGAGCGTGGGCTGTCTGACCTAGTGGTTAGAGCATGAATTGGGGATCAGGAAGCAGCTCAGAGTGGATACTGGGAGATCAGAGTCCAAGACAGGTCAGAGCAAGCATCAGGAGAAGGGGCAGGGATACTGGGAGATCAGAGTCCAAGACAGGCCAAAGCAAGCATCAGGAGAAGGGTCAATTACCAGGAGTAGGTAGCACAAGCAAAGCAAACCGAAGCAGGAGAAACCCAGTTGCCCAGAAAACTTCCTCTTGCTCTGCTTTGCTTAAATAGAAGCAGGGAACCAATCGGGACTCCCAGAATTCCACCAATCAGAGCCCAGCTCTGGAGTCCTCTGCCAGTGGGACGCTTGTAGATCGGGCAGCACCTAACAGGTTGGCATGTTGACACTTACTGATGCCCTGGGTTTGAGACCCTGGTTCTCTGACAGGGAGGAGGGCCCGATTCTGGACTCATTGGACCTTTTGTTCAAAGCGTCTCCTTGTGGCTCCACAGCGGGGGAGTTAAACATCGGAACTCTCCCTTGCACTGAGAGGTGCTGCGTGCCTGAGAGAGGATTGCTGGAAGAGGTTTCCTCTTTCCCGCAGGAGCCGGGGTCTCGGTTTGATGACCCAGGAAGTCCCGTTTCCTCCTCTGGACCCACGTTTCTAAATCGTACCTGTCGCCCATTGAAAACGTCACAGAGATTTTGTGACCAGCACTTTTTTCTCGTTCTTTTCTGCAGCGCCACGTCCCGCTGGAAGAAGCCCATTTTATTAACACAAAACAGCTGAAGTTCATTGTGGCTCGAAGCAAGTGGCAGGTGAGCAGCCCTCGGTCTCCCTTGCACTTTCTCTCTCTAGTTAGTTTTTAAAAGGTCTCTTCTTTGCAAGACAGCAGCACCAGTAGGGAGTGTGCAGCCGAGGGCCCTGAGAAGGGAATAAGGGGAAAGATTCAGTGGACGTGGCAAAAATAAGGCATTCAGGCCGGAAAAATACAGACGCAAGACAGCAGCACCAGTAGGGAGTGTGCAGCCGAGGGCCCTGAGAAGGGAATAAGGGGAAAGATTCAGTAGACGTGGCAGAAATAAGGCATCCAGGCCGGAAAAATACAGATCTTCCAGCTCTCACCACTGCCCTGCCTACTGTGCCATGATCCAGCCCAGGGCACTGTCACAGAGTGCTCTGCACCCCCATCCATGGCCAGATGGTAGAACAGAAGGTTTTGTGGGTCCCCGGGACACAGCGTAGCCCAGACTTGTTAACACAGGAACCAGGAGCAGTCAGGACAATCCATCTTGGCGAGAGGGGGGGCCAGAGCCAGTTCAGGACAATCCATCTTGGGGAGAGGGGGGGCCAGAGCCAGCGCCCTGGTCTCCTTCCCTGCATTCTCAGCCAGCCCAGAGTCACTCACACACCCAGCAACTTGTTCCCCAGCATGCGGGCAGCCCCGTCTCCTCCTTTGTTCAGATTCCTGGGCAAGGCGTCACCTGGTTGCTCCCTCCACCTAGGCTCAGGTTACAGGACAGCCTGAGCTGTTATTGTGTAGGTGCTAAGACGGGGCAGCCTCCCCCTCAGTGAGAGCCACACCCGACATTCCCATCCCAGCCAGACACCCGTGCAGTGCCCAGGGAAACTGAGGCACACACACAGCATTACAACAGAATAGCACAGGACAGTAGAAATCACCCACAACATAACAAAGGGAACAGAGTGAACACAATCCTCACTACGTCACACACTTCCCCTCTAAATGTGGAGCAAAGACAGCCCTCATCTTCACTAGGGCTTTATTTCGAAATAGCCTCCCCCAGACAGCCCTCATCTTCACTAGGGCTTTATTTCGAAATAGCCTCTCCCACCCCTTAGGTCGAATTGGTAAGCAGAGCGTCCACACTCCCAAACCCGTTATTTTGAAATAATGGGCCACTTATTTCAAAATCTGTACTCCTGCTTTCCTCGAGGAATAACACTAATTCCAAATCAGTTATTTCGAAAATAGCGGTCGTGTGGATGCTCCAGTGCCACAATTTCAAAATAATAACTCCCCAGAGTCATTCAAACTAATTACTCCCCAGTGCTTCCGGGGGCTCTAAGTCGAGGTATCATATCCACAGAGCCTGCCTTGGGCTAATTTTGAGGCTTCCCTGTAGTGTGGACACGCTAGTTTGATTTTGTTATTTTGGGAGTTATTAAATTGATTTTCGTTATTTCGAGATGGTTTCCTAGTGTAGACATGCTCACACTGAGTCTGAGTCCTCAGTGACTTTGAAAGTTAGGTGACTTGTCTGATAATCTTAGGGTACGTCTATACTAGCCCCCTACATCGATCTAGGGACGCTAATGAGGGCGACCAGAATTGCAAATCAAGTCCGGGATTTAAATATCCCATGCTTGATTTACATGTCCCGAAGTAACTGCCCGCAGTGAAATGGGATTCTGATTTAAAGCTCCTAAATCGAATTAGCTGATAAACCTTGTTGCAGGAGGAATACCAGCTAATTCGAGTTAGGTCTTTAAATCGGAATCCCGTTTCACTGCCATGTCTAGAAGCAGGCAGTTACTTCAGGCTAGTCAATTTCTAAAATGGCGACCGGCCGGGAACATGCAAATCAAGCGCGGGATATTTAAATCCCGGGCTTGATTTGCAATTTTGGTCGCCCTCATTAGCCTCCCTAGATCGATCTAGGGGGCTAGTGTAGATGTACCCTTACTCTACAAAAAGACTTTCTGTGCTTCAGCACACAAAATGCTGAGAATACTAAAGCCCAAGGCTGCGTCTAGACTGGCAAGTTTTTCCACAAAAGCGGCCACTTTTGCGCAAAAACTTGCCAGCTGTCTACACTGGCCGCTTGATTTTGCGCAAAAGCACTGACGTTCTAGTGTCCAAAATCAGTGCTTCTTGCGCAATGCTTTGACGTTCCCAATCGGGCAAAAGCCCTTTTCCAGAAATGTTTTTGCACAAAAGGGCCAGTGTAGACAGCTAAAAACTGTTTTGTGCAAAAAAGCCCCGATAGCGAAAATGGCGATCGGGGCTTTCTTGCACAAAACCGCGTCTAGATTGGCACGGACGCTTTTACACAAAAAGTGCTTTTGCGGAAAAGCATCTGTGCCAATCTAGACGCTCTTTTCTGAAAATGCTTTTAACAGAAAACTTTTCCGTTAAAAGCATTTGCGGAAAATCAGGCCAGTCTAGACGCAGCCCAAGAGAGAAGTCCTGGCCACACAAACATCAGTGGGAGTTTTGTTATTGAGTTCACTGGAGTCAGGATTTTACTACGGCCATTTGGATACCTGTGTTTTGATGGTGTCTTAAGATTGCTCTGAGGATGGGGTTGGGACTGAGGAACGTCCGATTTCTTATCCCCTCTGTGGTCTGATTCAGTCTATCAGTAGGAACGAGTTCTCCCAGCTCTCAGCCTCAATTATTCCAGTTGCACAAACTGAATACTGCTGCCTATCCCCTGGGTATGCTGGATCAGCTCATTAGCTGATATGTGGGAAGCATCTGGTAGATGAAACCTGCTACGTGGATGCTTCTCATGATTATGAGTGGAAAGCTCTGATGGCTGGTCTTTGAACTTTGGGCCATCCTCTGTACCACTTTGCATGTGAAATATTTACATGCTATTTACATGTATTTAAATGTTGTGTTCATCTTAGGCCTGGTCTACACTAGCCCAGGAAGGTTGGCTTAAGGAACGCAACTCAGTTTACCTTTAGCCGAGCTATACCGGTGTCCATCCTGCAGGAGGTTGATGGGAGCAAATGCTCCCATTGGCTTCCCTTACTCCTCGCAACAGGAGGAGTATCGGGCGCCGTCGGAAGCTGCCCTCGGCGTTTGATTTACGGGTCTACACTAGACCTGCTCAATCGAATGCTAGAAGATCGACTTCCAGAGCATCAATCTTCCGATAAGTATAGACGTGTCCTTTAGGGCTCCAGTCGATAGCAATACAGAAACTAAAGTGACCCCAAAGGAACAATGAAGAACATCATCACCAGGGCCCAGTTCTCTGCTGTGCACTTTGGTAGAGCTCCACTGATTTCACTGGAGTTACGCCAGTTTACTCCACCCAAGGATCGGGCCTAGTATGGTTGATTAAGAAACGGAGTGAAATAATAGAATTAGGGGACTTGGGGCTAAATGCCTAGCGCTGCTTTGGAAATATCAACCGGGGCCCGGGTTTATCACTCACACAGGCAGGCCCACTGATAGGAATTTGGGGTTCAGGGCAGAAATCAATGGAACTCGTCTCTCAGCTGGGCCACACACCCCACGCCTGCCCGGAGACACCCCAAGCACCCCCTCATCAGAGGAATCCTGGTCCAATCCTGCTCCGTCCCCCTCTCCCCTGCCTTCCCTGGACCCAAACTGCCTGTTCTAGGGAAAGCTGCAGCCGTGTCTCTTGAATGAAAGATGCCTTTGATGTTCCTCATGTAGGTTCCAGGGTCGAGTAACCAGGCCCCAGAACCTGCATGGGGCATATCAAAAGCATTGTTCAATCAAGAAGCGCTTGTCGGCAGAGCTGCGGCAGCAGCAACCAGGGCCCCTGGACCTTTTTAAATTTCCGGGCCCCTGGGCTGTTGCCCCCTTTGCCCCCTCTCCCCGTTGGTGGGTCTGCACCCAGGTGTAAGGTAGCAATACCTCCACTGAAGTCACGGTGGCCACATCAGTGCAAAACTAACACAAGTGAAAGGAGAGGCAGGCCCAGAAGGAATTTGTTTGTACTGAATGAAATAACCTAAATGCTCTGCAGCTGTTACGTGTGT